AAATGAATGGCCACAACTGCCTTTGTTAAAAACAAAACCAAAACATCGTAGTATTTTAAAGCACTTAAAAAAAAGAAAGCCGCCTCCTTTTTCCAGTACTTATTAGCCTCCAAATCCAACAATGCCCTTTAAATTACAGGCCATCGATGAACTGTGGCCATTTCTAATGAAAGCACACTGGACACCTGCCTCTGTAAGGGCTGCATGTCAAGCACATACTGAAATGCTACAGTGGTTCTATGCCGCTTTGTGGGTGCACATCCACACTCTCAATCACCTCTGAAAATGTGCTTCACAGTCTGGCTCTGGCCTGCTTCTGCAGTCCAGTTTCCTTAGTCCCGATACTCCCGCCACACCAAATTTCTGCCTTCTTCCTAGGGAGAGGCTGGTGGGTTCGGCAACAATTTTAGTAGCCACTGCAGCCCCGGACTCCTTAGACACCCTACAGCATGGCCCATATAAAGCAATGATTTCCTTGTTTCATGTTTATTGCCCGAGGCTTCAACGCTTGCAAACAGCCCTACAAAGCAAATAAGTATTTGTGTGGGAGAACAGAGGAAACAGGAAAGTCAGGAAAAAGAGGAGGATATGCAGTGTGCCTATTTGGCTCCCCAAACAGCTGCCTTCTTTGTCACAATACCAGATCTGGATGTTGCTCGGCTACCACTTCACATATTTTGATCAAAGATTCCAAAGACTCCCAGTCAAAGGAGAGGAAATGTAGAAAGATTTTAAATTCGCATGACCTCCAGACTTCCTGGAGCTGTGAGAGTTGATAAATCCTGTAAACTGTGACCCTAAAACCACCTTAAGCTGAACATGAGAAGCGGCCTCTTCAGTGCTGAACTATCTATATGGCATCACACTGACAAAAGCAACACGAAACACCAGACTGGAGCCTTAGAGGGTGACAACAGTTACACAACTTGAAGACTGTCATCAGTCACTTAACAGTATGTGGAGAAACTCTCCGATTGGTGTATTTTGCTGTGTAAATTACACTTTAAAAAATTCAAATAAAGCAATGGGTTAAAAAGGGAGGCTCTTTAAATGCCTGATTAAATATCAGGTAGTAATAAAAATTTCAAGTATGAATTCCATGCTGATGAAGGACCAAGAATTTCATTTCAATAAAAATTCTGTTCTAGTAACTCTAAGAACTTTCATGGCTCATAGTGTTCTCGTAAAACTTCAACTGGTATTTGTTTCGACAACAGGAACAAGAGCCAAGTTTAATACAGGCATTCTTTAATTATATCTGCTCAGGGCAGTAGTATGTGGCTCCTTATTCTGGCATCAGAACAGTTAGCAATAATACAGACCAAAGGCAGGGCTTGTTGCTCGAATCCAGACTACAATCTTGTTTGGGTTCCATGTCACGGAACCACAGAATTCAGGAAGTCAACTGACACTGAACTGATGTACTCCTGTCGCTTCCTTTGGGGCAGATTCCTTTTACAGGCCTGTTGGCAAAGGAGGGCTCGACTCGAAACTGGTTGGCTTTGCGTATTGCAGACCAATTGATAACCACTGGGCCACCAGAGCTCCTTTTGGTTGGCTTTTATGATTTGGTATTAACCCTTTAAGACGTAGCTATAGAGCTGCAGTTTATTTAACATTGCTGGTTCAGAAGGGAACTTAATGACCCGAAGAAGCCAAAGGGATTTCTAAAGCAAACTGACAGGAAAGGAAGATCAACTGTTATTATGATGTTGTTCCTGAAGCTGGAAACTAAAATCCCAGGTAAATTATGACAATAAGAAACCTGAAACATTCTAGTTCTTAAATGTTTCCTCCCCTGAACTATCATGATCCCAATTCTACCTTACAAATCCAGCTAGACCAGAGGATGTACACTGGTACAGATAAGAACT